TGTTGCCTCTCTTGTTTTGAGCCAGAGTGGGGCCTCAGTTCAGCCTGTTGGGAAGTGGTGTTTAGTGGCAGGGCATTGGCCTCCACGGTCTGTGTGAGAGAGACTATGGTGTACCCTGCCCCCTTTTGCCTGTTACATGGGTGGGAATTGATCTGGCATCAATGAACCATGTAAACTCTGGGTTGGGGATGGCCTCCGAGGAGACATTGGGAAGGGAAGGGAGTAGATTTTCAATAGCCACCGTACAAGAGTGGGTGCGCATCTGAGTGGCCTCAGGAAGTAGTGATGCTGGGTTAAGAGAAGGACAGAATTGAAGGGAAAAGGTCAGGTTTTCTATAAAAGTAGCATGGAAAAGTTGTAGCCGAGAGGGTGGCAGATGTGAGAGGCTATGGTGTGAGTAGGTCTTGTAAGCAATGAGGTGACTTTATTATCATTGGTTGGCTAAAAGTTAGTTTAGAGGTCTCTTGGGCTAGGAGTGAGGCAGCTGCCAGGTGCATAAACATGTGAGTCAGCCCTGGACAGTGTGGTCGAGTTGTTTAGATAGGTAAGCAACTGGGATGAATTGTGACCCAATGTTTTGTCCCAGGACCCCCAAAGCCAGTCCTGCTCATTCAGTGACATAGAGAGTGACTGGTTTTTTGAGATCTGGAAGAGCTAGTGCAGGGGCAGAAAGGATAGCAGCCTGAAGTTTGAGAAATGGTCCCTCAATGGATGTGCCAGCTATAGGTTCATTTGGGTCTTCCTTGGAAGCCTCATACAGGGGTTTAGCAAGTAGACTGAAATTGGCTATCCACAAGCAAAGAAAGCCCACAAGCCCTAGGAAAGACAGGATCTCGGCTTTGGAGGAAGGGAATGGAGGGTCCCAAATAAGCTGTTTATGGTCTAAGGTGATCTCTTGTTGTTGATATGAGATCTTAACCCCAAGATATTGTACTGTGGGTTGGGAGAGTTGGGCCTTATCCCTTGAGACCCGGTATCCCTTTTTATACAAGAAGTTGAGCAGTGAGGCCATGTGTTTTTGGGAGAGTTCAAGAGTGGGACTGCACAAGAGCAAGTCATCTACATATTGAAGTAGCTTAGAGAGAGACAGGTTTAATTTTAAGAGATAAGCAGCCAAGGCCTGTCCAAAGAGGTGTGGACTATCCCAAAACCCCCGTGGGAGAACTGTCCAAGTAAGTTGTTGAGAGTGTCCCATATCAGGGTCAGTCCATGTAAATGCAAAGAGGTCTTGTGAGTTGGGGTGTAAGGGGATGGTGAAAAAGGCATCTTTGAGTTCTAGAACAGTGAAATGATGTGAGAAGGAGGGGATGTGGGACAGCAGAGTGTAGGGATTGGGAACAACACGGTGTATAGGAAGTACAGTGGAATTGATGGCCCTCAAGTCCTCTACCAATTGGTAGGAGCCATTCATTTTTAGGACTGGAAGGATAGGAATGTTGTATGGGGAGTGAGCTAGTCTGTGAAGTCCCTTATCAATTAGGCCAGTGATTATAGACTTTAGTCCTTTTAGGTGTCTTAAGGCTATAGGGTATTGTGGGACATTTGGGAATTGAGTGACATCCTTGAGAGAGGTCTGAATGGGAGAGTGATGTTTAGCAACAGTAGGGATGGAGGTGTCCCAGACCCAGGGGTCAATATAAAGCACCTTGGAAGAAGGTGAGGTCAGGTTGGGGATTGAGTCAGTCGGGGGCAGCCAGGAGCAGCAGGATCCCAGTAGGGTCTGAATTGGTTGGGTGGAGAATAAATGAGGCCCTGAATTTTAGCTAGAATGTCCCTCCCTAAGATGGGGTTAGAATAGCCAGGAATCACCAAGAAACTATGTGAACATGTGCTGCCTAACAGGGAACAAGCTAGGGGTTGGGTGATTAGTGGATTTGAAGGCATCCCTTGAACCCCCAAGATGGTTACTGTGGAGGGATGAGTGGGGCCTGAGTACTGTGGTAAGGCTGAGTATATAGGCCCCGTGTCAAGCAAGAATGAGATAGGCTTACCTGAGATGCTGACAGTTACCCTGGGCTCATTGGAAGTGATGGCTATGGGGGCTGCAGATGACCCTGGGAAATCCTCTGTTTCCAGGCTGATGAGCTCTGACAGATGTCTTTGTACCTGCTGCCTGGGCTTGAGGAGGGGATGGCCTCTTACCTTTTCAGTGAAGGGGACAGTCAACCCTCCAGTGACCTGTGTAAATTCAGAACAAGAGCCAGGCAGTGGCTTGGGATTGGGGCATTCTTTAGCCCAGTGCCCAGTTTGATCAAATTTAAAACAGCCCCCGGGGGGCCCATCAGGAGTGAATGTCCTCTTGTAGCATGGTGGTTTACCCTGTAGGGCTGCTGTCAGCATCTGGTAATTAACCACTTTTTGTTGGTTTGCCTATTCTTCACGGTTATTGAACACCTTAAAGGCAACATTGAGGAGCTCGGTTTGTGTGGCCTGAGGGCCCTCCTCAACCTTTTTATGTTTTTTTCTAATGTCAGGGGCAGACTGTGAAATAAAATGAGTGTTAATAACAATTGTGCCCACCTGAGATATAGGATCAATTTTGGCATATTTTTGGAGAGCATTGGCCAATTGAGAAAGAAACTGCACTGGATTTTCGGCGGGGGGGTGGGGGGGGTCCCTGAGTTATCTCTGATCTTGTCAAAATTAACTGTCTTTTGGGAAATCCTCTTTAAGCCTTCTATGAGACAGACAATCATATAGTCCTAGAGGTCTCTGCCTGGGTCATCATCCTGGTAAGTCCAGTCAGGTTGGGTATCTGGTACTGCCTGTGTGCCTTCTAGCTTGGTCAGGTCTGTGGCATGGAAATCATCTGCTGCTGTCTGGGCTGCCCTCCAGACCCTTGGGTGCTCCTCTGGGGAGAGAATAGTGGAGAGAATCATGTAAATATCTTGCCAGATCATATCATAGGACTGAGTAAGGTGGCAGAATTTTTTAATATAGACATCAGGATTGGAGAAGAAAGAGCCTAAGCATTTTTCAGTTTGAGAAAGATGGGAGAAAGAGAAGGGCACGTGTACTCTAACAATGCCTTCAGTCCCAGTGACCTCTCAGAGAGGCATCCGTGTGACCAGGGCCAATGTTGGGAGTAGCGAGAATGGATGTGGGGCAGGGAGTGTGGAAGTGAAGGTGGGTGTTGAGGACGGGGTGCTGGGAGGCACAAGATGGCAGAGATGAGGGAAGGTCACAAGATGGAGGAGGTGAAGAAACATGCAAGGAGATGGAAGAAGAGCTGGCTGTGTTATAGAGTGGGGGAAGTGTGAGCAGTGAGTGATTGGCAGGATCGAATGTGTCAGAGTTGGGAGGGGTGGACAGCGCAGTTTGGGCTAGAAGTACCTGAAAAGGTGAACAGGTTTGACAGAGAGGGTCCACAGCATAGGTAGAAGAAGGCTTGTAGGTAGGGGATTTCTGACCATTTGCCACTGCATTGACAGAAATTGCATAAATCACACAGTATGTTAAAATCAAAAGTGCCATTTTCAGGCCATTGAGACCCATTATCTAATTTGTATTGAGGCCAAACCTGACTACAATAGAAAATGGGTCTTTTTGGTTTAAACTCTGGTCCCAACAATCCAAAGGGCCTGAGTTGTGTCAGGAGGCAGCCTAGAGGCATTGGGGAGGGGGGGAGTGGATAGTTGGGCTCCCATGCTAGGACAGGTGAGGAGGAGGCAGCTCCCTAGGAGAAGGGCAAAAGGGAAGAGCATCCTCATCCCTTTTGACAATCTCCAAGCAAGTCTCCAGAGGGAGAGAATGAGAGCAGCAGGGCTGATGGGGCATCCCCCAGGGACATGGTCCTGGGCCCAGCAGCTGAGGGGTCTCTCTGACCAAGCACTTGGATTTTTGAGAAGTCCCCAGAGGGAGAGAATGAGAGTGAAACAGAGGACCTGAAGAGAAGGAGGCTGAACTGCCCCCTCACCCAGAGATCGATGACCAGTGTGGATGTGTAGCATCAGCAATGGCAAAGGCAGAGAGCCCCAAAAAGGTCCTGGCTTGGCAGATGTGGTCCAGAGGAGATGGCTGAAAGGCCAATTGACCCTGACTGGTGAGGGATTGTCACTTAATCAACTGCCTACCTCCCAGGTTTTGGCACCAGATATGTCAGGTAAAAGAGCCAAAAACCAAGACCAAACCAGAACCACAATAAGCCTTTATTGCAGGGACAATCTGCAGGGCTGTCTCTGAGTGCAGCTCAGGAGTGCAGCAGCATGGGAGGGGTAGGGAAAGCTTTTATAGGAGCTAGGGTGGGGTTTGGGGATGTGATGGTTGGGGATTGGAGGGTTTGAAAGGTGTGTTACCGGGGATTGGAGGAGCCTGGGACATCACTAGTTACTAGGAAGAGAGCAAGTAACCAGTTACTCTTTTGGTGGGAAAAGGGGCATGTTGGGAAGAAGAAGATTTTCTTCTGGTGGGAAAAGTCATCTTGAGGTTGAGTTTTAGGTGGGGAGCAGGGTATTATGTGAAGGAAAAGGCCAGTTTGGGTGGGAAAGGAACCATCTTGAAACTGGGTTTAGGTGGGAAGCAGGGTATTATGGGAAGAAGAAGGCAGCTATTATATATTGCAGCCATCTTTAGGTGAGGGAATCTATCAAAGTTGTCTTACCCACTCATGCATTTTTATTTTTGTGGCACTTTCTGCTTTCTTATCTATAAGGAAACAATAATGTAAGTTGCCAGAGTCCCCTGCAGTGGTCCTGGCTTCCTGCAAGCCAGTACAATGTCTGCCAGATAGGAAAATGGAAATTGAAAGAATCACAGAGACAGTGACTTGAGAGAAACTGAGTCTTGGGCAGATCTAAACTGTTCTGGGCAGCAAAGACAAAGAACTCCCAGGACATCCAGTGTTTATTTATTACAAGTACAGGAAGGGGAACAACTGGGCAGGCCTTGGGACACCTGCTGATAACAAATATCAAGCAGGCAGGACTGTAGAATGAGGGCACAAGCATATCTTTGCTGAAGAGAATAAACAGTTAATTCAGAAGGGAAAATTTAGCTGCAGTCAATTGACCTTGACTGGGAGTGAACTCAGCCAAGCTCTGCTATTTCCAATGGAACACAGCCAATTTATGGAAGGGCAAGAAGCTTGTGCTACTATAGCCTGCTAATACTGGGAAGAAGTGTCTGTTACACCTCAAGCAGCCTAAGGACTCTGAGGTAAATGGGAGCTAGGAGCAGGGAAGAGACTTGGAGTTTAGTGAGAGTGCCTACAGGGCAGCATTCTCTAATTTTTTCAGTCATAATCTTCTCAATTATGGCTGCAGCCTGGAGGAAAAATCAAGGAGGTCCTAGATATTCTTTAATTTCTTATATCTGAGTTTTATCATAGGTTTATGGATTTTGTTGCATTATTTGAATTACATGCTTGGTTCATTTTATTAAACTCTACGTCAAATCCTTCTCAGCTCTGCATATAAGCATATCAGTCTTGGCTGGGGATTTAGCTCAGTGGTTTTGCTACCTGCTGCGCAAGCTCAAGGACCCAAGTTCGATCCCCGGTACCAAAAAAAAAAGCATATCAGTCTTTTAGAAAGGGTCTGGGTAAATGTCGGCAAAACAAGGCTTATTAGCTTAAATGTACCCAGCTTATCCCATTACCCTACAAGACAGAGGACACCAAGATAGGAGCTGCACCCAGAAATCATCACTGCCCTAAACCAAAGGTCACCTTGGATTCCAGTAGAGCCTCCCATGACTGAATTGCTCCGCCATGTCAGGAGGACTCCTCCGGAGCTGTGAAACAGAGATTGAGATAATGTGTGACTGGAGCCCTGCCCTTCAGAGCTCCATAAAACTGGCCCTGGAGGTCCTTTGCTTGCAGCCACTCTGATTCACCTCTGCTGACTTTGCCCCTTCAGTGTCTCAAACTAAAGACCTTTTCCTATGTTCTCTTACTGTTTTTTGTTAGAGGACTCACCCTTCATTTTTTCTTACCTTCTAATTAAAGCTTTTGCATGTAATTTCATACTCTTAACTGCAGTTTTAATTTCCATTATCACAAGGAACTGTGCTAGCCAGTGACATAAGGATGGTATTCATATTTCTTATAAAGGCATATTATTTTATTATTAACAAGATAACAGATTTGTAAGATGAACAATCATAATTATGATATAGGGGGAAGAGATGTAACTCCCAAACCTGCTAAGTATCTGAAATGCAAGTTTGTGCTCTCTAAAATCAAAGAATGAATTCTAGGAACAATGGAGATTAGGAATAGGAAAAATTTATTGAGAGAAAGAAAGCTTCTGTCTAAGAGAGACAGAAGGGGGACTGGAAAGTGGGTTGCCCACCTACCCCACTTTTCAAAGATGTTTTATACAGCAAAGCCATGTGGTGAGGCAGGTACAAAGTGGGACAAAACTATAAGGCCCAATGGAAATTTACAAAGTGGGCATGAGGTGGGACAAAATCACAACCAACCAATAAGATTACAACTACTGTCACCCAGGTAATATTGATTAAATGTGGATCAAATGGAAAAACAAGTCACATACAAGGAATTTCCCATTTAGAATATCAATCACTGCTATCTATCCCCAGGGGAAGTAGTGCCTCTTCTTTTTATAATGCTAACCAGTAAATGTGCCTCAATTGTTCTGAAAGCAGCCCTGTCTAACTGCCTACAAGATATCTAATTAACTTACCTTTCTACAATAATTATAAGCCTGTCCAAGTTCAGGGTATTTTCATGGAATAGAAAAACAATCTCTGAAATTGAATATCTTGTGAAATTCTGTGGTTGGAAAAACTCTGAGTTGGGCCAGTTCTGCTACTGAATCATCTCTGCTGTGTTTAGCCTCAGAACAAAAGTAGTCTTACTCTTATCTAAGGATTCCTTCATCCCTAAATTAGCCATGGGAATTCTATGCCCTCGGTTTATATGGATTTTTACCAGATATTTGAGAAACATTATAATTGGTTTTTTTTAATCTCTTCAAAGATCAAGCCATAAATATACAAAATCATTATTCATCCATCCATTAAAGAACAATACATTTATCACTATTTCCCATTTATAGCTGGGTAAACTAAATGATTGCCTTAGACCTCAGAGAGCTAAACTACTCAGAGATCTTTCTAATGCTTGGCTTCCTATTCTTAATGTGGGATAAAAGGAACATTTGGAGCTCCAGTCACTGAGCCACTGCTGCTGAGGACTCAATTGATTCCTTCTTGAGCCCCCTGCTTCCCTGAGGATCAGTCACCCCCAGCACCACAGCCAACTTCCACAGGCCATTTCCCCTGAGGTGTCCTATATCTGCTATCCAGAATCTGCACTTTTTTGATCCCTTTGCTGATGCAAGTCAGGGTGATGACCTGCTTCCTGTCAGCACTAAGGATTATAACCATATAAGAGTTCAACAGATAAATGACAAGAAGACCCTTGTCCAAGGAAGTGCTGATGATTGTGATAAAAAGAAACTAGTGAAGGTATCTAAGAAGAAATTTGCCTGCAATGGTACTGTAATCAAACATCCAGAATATGGAGAAGTAATCCGGCTCCAGGGTGACCAGTGCAAGTACATATGCCAGTCACTGGTAGAGATTGGACTGGCTAAGGATGCTCAGCTGACAGTTCATGGGTTTTAAGTGCTTGTGGTTCATTGAGTACTTAAGTGAGAATTTCCTTGCAATGAGTAGAATGTTCCTTCTGTCCCTTGTCACAAGTTTAAATACCTCACAGCTTGTATGATGTAACCATTTGGGGTCCGCTTTCACTTGAACTAATGTAACTCCTTCATGCAATAAATTGAAAAGAGCCTAAAATGGGGGTGGAGGGGATTCAAGTTCAGTGATTTGACTCCTGGAAAATTCCAGAGTTAGTAACATGAACAAAGAGAATTAAATCTGGATCTCCCCAGGCAAATTGTCTCACACCAGTAAATTTACTGGACAAAAATATGATTTTTTTTGCAAAATATTTTAGAAGAGTCTTTCCCTCTTGTGGTCCCAGAAGTGCTTACATCAGAATCTCCTAGAGACCTTATTTAAAAAGTAGTTCCCTGGTATAATCTTTTTGATGATTTGCTGCATTTTGTTTTCCAGTGTCCCATTGAAGGTTTCTGCATCTATATTCATTAGGAAGATTGGCCTGTAGTTGTCTTTGGTATCCTTCTCTGGTTATGGTATCAGGGTAATTTTTGCTTCCAAAAATGACTTTAGGAGTATTGCTTCCTTTTCAATTTCATTAAAGAATTGGAGGTATAGGGGCATTAACTCTTCTCAAAAGTTCTTATAGAATTTAGCAGTGACTCCATCAGGACCTGGGCTTTTCTTTAATGGTAGGGTTTTTTTTATTACTTCTTCAATTTCATTGACTGATATTGAGTTATTAAGAATTTTTACATCCCCTTGATTCAGCTTTGGTAATTCATATATGTCTAGGAATATGTCCATTTCTTCTGAGTTTTCCATCTTATTAGAGTACCAGTTCTCAAAGTAGGTATTCATAATCTGGACCTCTGCAGGATCTGTTGTGATTTCACGCTTTACATTCCTAATTGCATGGATTTGTGTCTTTTCTTTCTTTATTTTTTTGATAAAGTTGGCTAAGGATACAAAGTCAGCACTCAAAACTCAATAGGATTCCTGTACATGAATAATAAAATAAATGAGAGAGAAATCAGGGAAACAACACCTTTCACAATAGCATCAAGAAAAATGAAAGATTCAGAAATCAATCTAACAAATAAAATGAAAGACCTTCACACTGAAAACTACAGTGCTCTGAAAAAGGAGATCAAAAAGGGTATCAGAAAATAGAAATATATCCCTTGTTATTGGATAGGCATAACCAATATACTAAAAGTGTTCATGCTTTCAAAACTGTTATATGAGATTTAATGCAATCCCAGTCAAAATATCAATAGCATACCTCAGAGAACTAGAAAAAATAATCTTAAACTTCATATGGAACCAGAAGAGACCTAGAATAGCAAAAGCAATTATGAGCAACAAGGGCAAGGCAGGAGGCATCACAATTCCCAATTTGAAGCTATACTATGAAGCTACCATGAGAGAAACAGCATGGTACTGGCAACAACAAAAACAAAAACAAAAACAGACATGAGGATCAATGGAACAGAATAGAATATGCAGAAATAACTCGAAGCACACTCAGCTACCTTATCTTTGAAAAAGGGACCAAACACTTTCAGTGGAAGAAAGATAGCCTCTAATAAATGGTGCTAGAAAAACTGGCTCTCCACATGCTGAAAATTGAACCTAGACCCGTATTTCTCACCATGCACTAAACTAAAATTGAAATGGGTCAAAATCTAAATATTAATTCAGAAATACTAAATCTACTGGGAAATAGAATAGGTAAAACTCTTGAAGACATAGATATAGGCAAAGACTTCATGAACAAAACCCCAATCACACAGGAAATAGTACAAAGAATTAACAACTAAGATCACATCAAATTAAAAAGCTTTTGCATAGCAAAGGAAACCACCAAAAGAATGAAGAGACCACCTACAAAATGGGAAAATAATTTTATCAGTCACTCCTTAGACAAAGGACTAATATCTAGAATATATAAAGAACTTTTAAAAATAAGACCCTCAAATTTAAATGTGTCAGATAAAAGGGCCGAAGACCAAGACCAGACCAGGCCACACCAAGCCTTTATTAGGGGAATAGATCTAACGGGCTGCCTCTGAACAAAGGATAGACAAAAGCAATATGGCCGGGGCAGGGAGAGTCTTTTATAGAGACTGGGGTGGGGTTTGTAGGGGCTGAGGTGGGGTTGAGTGAGGTAGTGACTAGGGAATGGAGGAGCCGGTGATGTCACTAGGTGGTAGGAGGTGAGTATTAGGTTACTTTCTAGGCAGGAACAGGGGCATACTGGGAATAAGGGTTTATTCTTTGGTGGGAGCAACCATCTTGGCATGATGTCACACAGGGGAGGGGGCAAGGCATGATAGGAAGAGGGCAGCTACTATACATAATAGCTGCTGAGGTGGTGGGAGACCTATCAAAATGCTTAATCCAAAAATATGCATTTGAAATGAATAGACAAATAAATACATGAAAAAATGCTCAACATCACTGGCCATTAAAAAAATGCAAATTAAAATAATGTTGAGATTCCTTTTCACTTCAGAAACAATAGTTATCATCAAGAAATAAGCCAATAATAAATGCTAGTGAGGCTGTGGGGGAAAAGGAACCCTTCTCCATTGCAAGTGGGAGTCTAAATTGATACAACCACTATGGAACCTGATATGGAGATTCCTCAAAAAACTAAAATGAGAGGTTCCATTTGACTCAGTTGTTCACTTCCTAGGCATCATACCACCATGATATATGCATACTCATGTTTATAGCAGCACAATTTATAATAGCTAAATCTTGGAAACAGCCCATATCCCCATCTATAGATGAATGGATAAAGAAAATGTGGCATTTATATACAATGGAGTACTACTCTGCTATAAAGAAGGATAAACTTGAGTCATTTGTAGGAAAATGAATGTACCTAGAGATCATGATTTTAAGTGAAATAAATCATATGCACAAATTTAAATATCACATTGTTCTCTGGTGTGAGAAACCCAAAAGGTAATTAAGGAGCATAATGGAGGATAGATATTGGACAGTAGGAAGAACATTTTTGGAAGGGAAGGGGAACAAAGGAAGGAGGGTGGAAGGGAAGGAAGGGAAAAGGAAAAAAGAGAATAGAAGAAAAATTGAAACAAAGCTTTCATAAATGGGAAGGGGAAGAAGGGTTGAAGGGAAGAGAAGGAATGGGGAAAAATAAGACAGGATCTATTATATACAGGTACAAATTCCTTATGATGAATGTGATCAATATGTATGACAAATATGTACTAATGAAAAATATAAAGTTTTTTAAAATGTAGTTTCCTGGGCCCTCCAAGATGGAAGGTTTGATGTCTGGGGGTATTTTCTCATCTTTCACCTTGCAATCTCAGAGTCACAATTTTGAACAATGTGCTGTAACTGAGCCTTAGTAGTTTTAAATGTTAGGTTTCCTTTTCCTTCTCTTGCTGATTTTAAATTAGTTTCACTTTCCAGTTCTCTTTTCTCTTTCAAAAAGGCAATTACTACTTAGAAACCCAGGTTAAACTTCAGCTGGTACATTCTCCCTGCCAGCCACCTCCTCATTATTTAGTCTCTTTAGCATTTACTGGGGGCAAATTCAGAAGATTTCTGTAGAGCAAATCAGTCTTGTCTGCAGCTTTTTGGAACAGCTGAGATGCAGACTGCTGTCATGAAGTTAGTGAAACGGGAATGCTTAACCACTCTTGTACCAGATTCCTGATAGTGGACCCATCATTTAGTGCTTAAATTTCATTTGTACAAGTAAAAATCCTATCCTTAAAAAAAGAAGTTTTCTTCTCTAGTGTCTCTGGTTCTTTTCTACTTAAAAGCAAGTACACACACACACACACACACACACACACACACACATATGTTTTATCTATTTCTTTTCCCTAATATTATGCTGTCCTTGTTCATGGGTCTGTTTATGTCAAGGACATACTGGATGAGATTCAGAATCCCTAATCAGCTGAGCCAGCCCCCCTCTAAACCTTGACTGCTGCCAAATTCATAGCACTCATGTGATAAACACTTGTTCTGTTTTCCTGACACTGTTACTAAGCAACAATTTCATGAACAAAAATTCCACTCATACTGCTCTCAGTATACACAGATCTTCTAAAATTCATGTCATTATTTGCTTATGTTTTCATCACTTTCTTTCAGAGTTAGTGCCTCACAGAAAATATTTGCATCTAAAAACTCAGTTCTATTAGAAGCCTCCCCTCTGATATAGAACTGGAAGAAAAGAGCTGAAAGTCTCCCCCCCACCACCCCTGCCCAGCTCCTTGACCTGAACCTAAACTGAGAATATCTAGATTGCTCTGGCCTGAGGCTCACAACAGAATACTTATGTTTCAGAGGCTGCACAGAGACATGATATGAGGTACCAACCCTGGATCTCACTTGAAAAACTTGCAAAGGAAAACTACTCCCAGCTGCACAGAGAGAAGGACATGCCCACCTCTCATGGTAAAAACATCACTCACAAGTCCTGAATGATCTTAAATGACACATCCTTTCCCTAAAGTATCCCATTTCTTATCACAACTCCATGAGGAAAGGCTCATTACTATCCTGACTTACTGGTAAGTAAATATGACTTAAAAATGTGAGCTAACTAGCCCCAAATCATACATTCAATAAGTGCCAAGTCCAGCAGTAACCCAGACAGACTGACTCCAGGTAGCCGCCACCACTGAGCAGTACTATCTTGTGTGCACAAAATCAAGTGGAAGTAAAATGTCTTGACATTTTTAATTGTGCCCAAACCAAGGAGGAAGGAGGAAACCTCAGGAAAAGATGTCTCACTGGCTCCAATACGTGGAATAAGAGCTGTTATAGTATTTCATATCTTGTTCTCATAGCCCTAAAAAATATGTCTGTGAGAAACCCCTTGCTAGCAGGTGAAAAATCAGGGTTTGCTGCTTCTCATAATAAAAAAGTTTGCCCATCAATCACTCTTCCTTTTAAGGAAAATTAAGCTTCCATGAAGTCCTGTTTGGGCACAGTTCCCTTTCCTTTGTTCTCTGAGTGGTCCCACTTTCCATTCCTGTACTGTCATCATGCTTAGAGAATTTTACTACCTACTGCAATAATTAGAGTATACTTAGGGAATGGGCTTAGGATTCCTATTATTTTGGTACTCTTGTGATTTAGTGGATTTAAGAACACATGGATCCAGACAACATTCTATGCTGTCAGGAATGCTGATTCTAATTGGCAGATGTGGTGTATTTAAATCCATCCCTGAAGGAGACATGGAGAAAGGTTTTTAATTTGCACAGTTTTTTTACTATATCCCTTTTTAAGCATACACTTTCCCCATGAGACCTGCAAATTTGAAATGCAAATGCATAAAATCCTACTTGATATTCATTTCCTGATTAATTTATGTTTGGCTTTGGAAAGGTCATAATGCCCCTCTGTCTGTTGAATAATTTCTGTGCTGTCCAATACAGAAATTCCCTGACAGGGAGAAAAGCAATGCTGGGGATCTGGGAATCTGGCTTGGTATTCTCCTTTAGCACATAAACAATTTCATAGAACATGAACATCAGACAAACACTCCTTGTGACCATGATAGATCAAGGCAAATACAAGACCACTCTGTAATCATGTCAGAACATAGAACAAAACATTAAGTTTGATTCAAAAGATGATGAACCATCCACTACTTCATTCTTCCACACATTGACAAAGGCTTTCTATAGTATTCCTCTAGGTATAAACCTCTGTCCTGATTTAAGGAGGTACTAACACATGTCCCAGGAAAATATGATACTAATAAATGACACCAGAATTCCATGAAAATATGCATCTCTATTTTCTACTGGGCTTGACCCAGCATTGGATATCATTGTCAGATTCAATGAGACAAATAACCAAACAGCCCCCTAATGTGGCTAATGTAAGTGACAGGATTCTTTTGAAATTATATCTTTGGCTTTGGTCTAGTTTTCTCTCTTTCTAGGTATGATTTAAGATCCCCAATTATGGACTTATTCCTGCTTCCTGAAAACATCTACTCTTGAGCAAAGCCCCACTTCCTTGAAACTTGTTCATAATCCCTCAACATAAGCTTGAATTTGGTAAATATTCTTATTAAGAGCCTCTATTGTTCCCCAGGGTGTATGCTGTCTTTCACAGTCCCAACAGGTAGCGGTAATATACCCAACTTGTTCAACCACAGGTCGTTTCTGGAAGTACTTGGTTAGAGAGGGCTGACACTGAAGATGTCCATCATTGACAGTGAAGAGTTACCCCCGTCAGCCACCACCCATTAGAGTGAATCAAGACCAGCCAGAGATCCAAGACACAGTGGGCGGTTCACCATCAGCAGAAAGACCACTGAGGATTTCAGCACATGAGAACTAAAAGTTCATAGAAAACATTTTTAACAAGTCTTTTTCTCTTTTTACAGTTAAAAAACGATGGTACTGTGTACCCCAATTAAATGTCTACATGAACAGATCACAATATATGGGATTAGGAAAAATACATATAATACAGTTGTAATTTTTATAATCATCTGTTAGTTATGGTAATACAAGCTGTTATGACTTATGGTAATAGAAGCTGTTATCCCAGAAAAAATACTGAAATATGACTTGGGCAACAACAAACAAGTTTACTTCTCATATTTCTGACAGATGGCTATCCCATGATTCAGGGACTAAGTTTCCTTCCATTTTTTGACTCCAATCATCTTTAATAGGTTCCTTTCTGGGTTTTTTCCTGAAAGAGGGAAAAGCAGATGTGAATGTTTTATGGCCTGAGTCTAGAAGTGGCATAATAATGTTTGCCTATTGTCCATTATCCAAAACTCAAGTTCATAACTGTATCTTACAAGGGAACCTGGGAAATACAGTTTACTTAAGAGTCCAGAACAATGAAGAAACACTACAGCCAGGCTACCATTTTACTTAATAATTGTGAGTAGACTATAAACAAGTTAATAACTTTATCTGGAAATGCTCAAAGGAAGCATTTCTGAGCTTTTGCCCTTTTGCTTATCTTGGTATACCCTCTGCATAACCAAGATAAAGAAATTTACAGAATGACTCAGTAATGTTTCACAAGAGGATTTCTGAGGAGTAGTTTTTCAAGGTTTCCTGTTTCCCTGCTAATTGCATTTACACCTGGCAATTACACTAGCTTTGGTCTCATGGAAAATTTCTATTAAACATGTGAATGTTGTCTAATTGACTCCATGGTGGTTGTTGCTTTGTAGTAAGTGATATGAAAAATACTAGAGAAGAAATATGAGGACAACCCAGAAAAACTGTGTGAATTTAGATTTGGTTGTTAACATCCATACTTCTAAAAGTAATGTTGTCCCCAGTAGCCTCATCACAAACTAGGACAATATATACGTATTTCTCTACTAACCAATTGGAACAGGGTTGTTTGAACACTAATAAGATCATCACTATAGTCTGAATTGACAATAACACAAATTCTACTAGAAGATATAAACAATATGAGATTTTTCTTACAGGTCAATATCTCAAATCCAGAGGCATCAGCCTCACAGAAGACAACAAGCCACACACTACTTTATTATTCTACAAATTGACAAAGGCTTTCTACAGTACTCTTCTAGGCATAAACCTCTGCCACTGATTTAAGGAGGTACCACTGCAGTTGTCCCAGGAAAATGTGATAGTAACAAAAGACAACAGAATCTAACAAATTCATGAAAATATACATCTCTGGACAGAGGATGTAGCTCAGTAGTGCCACTGACTGCCTCGAAAGCGCAAGGTCCTGAGTTCAATCCCCGGCACCAAAAAAAAAAAAAAAGAAAAGAAAAGAAAGAAATATACATATCTATTTTCTACTGAGCTTGCCCAATATTAGATATCGTCTCATCATAAGAATCGGTTATCCTCTCTCCAAACCCACAAGGACTCCAGCAAGAAATCTGCATATGCAAAAACACTTCTTAAAAGCAACCTCTTTGCTGCCAAAACTGAGCCTGTGTGAAACAGACAACCCTCTCTGTTTCCATGAAGATGGAAATTTGCCAAAGTTATTGGGCCTTGAGGGTGTGAACACTTGCCTGCGATCCTTCCCATATATAAGCATCACACTTATCTCAGAACCCATAGAACTCCCTGGACAAAATTTAAAGGAGCCTCCTACCCTGACTGAAAGCACTTCCCAGCACCTGCTGTCTCTCAGCACCATGAGGTAAAGGCTTTCTCTGTCTTGCTAACCTTATTTCTGTGTACTTTGCAATTCCAAAACTTTCCTTAAAGACCAGTTTCAGGCAGGTTTCCTCCTAAGGGGGGTGTCTCATTCATGGTTCTGATGCTGATAGATCCCAACCTGGTTTGTGAAGACAGTTTAATGAGGGGGCTATTTATGATGGTAAATGCAAAGTTCAAGGAAATCATCAGGAGATAGTGCTGCATGGGGGTGAGGATTGCCAACTAAAATGGTAATATGTTTGTTAAATGGTATTGGTAACAAAACAAGCCTAGGCCTCCAGGGACACCAGGAAGGAAGAAGTCCCCAGACCTGGTCAGGCCCTTAGCTGTAGCTGTAGGGGAAGGCTCCTCAAGAGCCCATTGGTGGAAAGCTCAACCACTCACAACTGAAAGCCCAGCACAGAGCACAGTGGGAGCTTAGTAATGAATCCTATGACTTGCACCTCTACCTGCTCTTACATTTTAATTTCTGAGTGGAGACTCACAGTTGCCAAATCCAAAAGAAATTTTTTTAAAAAACAAAGAGGTCCCATCAAAGAAGCCCATGGAGCCAGTTTTCCCATGCATAGGGTATGATGAAGAATGGAGGAAAGTAGGTCCAAAGGGGCAGAGAGGAACATACGCACAGAGGCAAGTTTCCTGACCAAGCTCTTATAGCATTTGCTCAGTTAGGGCGGCTAGCTTAGTAACAGCAGTAGTGCTCATAGGAAATGAATGAGAAACACTTCTTTATTTCAAATGAGATGCCATTTGTGTTGCACAAAGCAAGAACAGTCTCAGAGTCAGGGACATAATCCTCTGCAGACTCAGACCTAGAAAAATGACTTGGGAGTATGAAGAGCATGGGCAGAACACATTCAAGGAGAATCTGAGAGCAGTGCTCTGGTGAGTTTTTGAAGTGGATGCTTTGAGGAAAATGAGGACTATGTTGATCTGTTAGCTTTCAAAGAGGCAAAACATAGTTATATATTGTGAGTCAGATGGTAGGATTTATGTAAAAATTGTTTTTTACTATACATTGATATACACAGGCTAAAGAAAATTTCACAAGATTCCCTTCAGGGATCTTCTTTTGGGCCTAATGGGTAGAAAAATATCAAGTGTAGAATATACTTATAACATATCAAGTATGAAATAATACCTATGTAGGATGTAAGGACTGCTTTTTTCAACGAATAGAGATGAATTTCTTTTTCTTCCTTCATGTTCCTAAAGAAGGAATAGAGCTTCATCTCCACTTCATAGGAGGGAGAAATATTGGGGCAAAATCTTATTCACATTGGCTTCTCCTTATTCTTATCTTTTCCTCTGGATGGCAGGGGACAATTAATATAACTGTTGAGATTTTGAATACCTGTCTTGCCTAAGCTACAGAGTCTCCTGACCTCAGGGTCCCTGAATTACAACAGTGGGACTTACATTTGACCTCATGCTTCATTCACACCTCTTGCTGCTTCTGACCCCAGGCAATAAATTCTGCTATTATGAGATGGCTCTAAGTAAACTCATACAGGCATAGGAGGTAGGATGCCTTACCACATTCTCCAAATTACTTTAAGCATTCAGGAAACTCATCATTTTGTACCAAATCTGGCTTTTATATTTAACTCTGATCCTTTCCTGGCAAGAGGGAAATCCAAACATGCTTCCATATTGGGAATGTGGAAAAGATGAGTAAAGGATCCACATTTCTTCTAATATCATTAGTGATATAATACAGTTTTAGAAGAAAGCAAAAGGGGAAAAGAGAGTCACAGAGTTGAAAGTGGTGTTCCAATTATATTGATCTTAGCAGAATTATTTTGACTTGACTTTTAGACTCATTTAACTGACACCATGGAGAAATTAACATTTCCTAAAGGATTTTATGTCAACACACTGTCTGCTACTAGACAGGACCACAGAAACCAAAGAGGCAACAAATTATACAGGCAGGGGCAAGGGATTTAGCTCAGTGATTTTGCCGCCTGCTGCTCAAGTGCAAGGACCCGAGTTCGATCCCTGATTAAAAAAAATACTATACAGGCAGGGATAGAGGGAGAAAGAATATCTGATGATTAAAAATCATGCCTTCATTTCCAATATACTAAAAGTTTTTAAAGTTGCATAATTGTGGTTTTCTTACAGTAAGGAATCTGATGGAAATCTAATAGAAGACAGCCTGGTTCAGTTGAGATGTCACTTTACATGGGAGCTGATAATTGACGGTATTGACATGCCTGATTTAGAAAACAGGGTTTTGGAAGAGATTGAGTTCCTTGACACCAAGTACAACGTGGGAATTCACAACCTCCTGGCCTATGTGAGACACCTGAAAGGCCAGAATGATGAAGCCCTGCAGAGCTTGAAAGAAGCTGAAGACTTAATCCAGAGAGAGCACACTGACCAGTTAGACAAGAAGAATGTGGTGACCTGGGGCAACTATGCCTGGGTGTATTACCACATGGGCAGGTTGGCAGATGCCAAGGCATACCTGGATAGGGTGGAGAAGACTTGCAAGAAGTTTGAAGGTCCCTCACATTTTAGGATGGAGTGTCCTGAAATGGACTGTGAGGCAGGATGGGCTTTGCTGAAGTGTGGAAAAAGGAACTATAAGCGAGCCAAAGCCTGCTTTGAAAAGGCTCTGGAAGTGGAGCCTGAAAACCCTGAATTCAACACTGGATATGCCATTACTGCCTATCGCCAGGATAACAATAGGAATGAAATTTCTCTAGATCCGTTGAGGAAGGCCATGAGGCTAAATCCAGAAGACACATATATCAAGGTCCTCCTTGCCCTAAAGCTTCAGGAGATAGGAGAGGAAGCTGAAGGAGAAAGGTACATTGAAGAAGCCCTGAGCAATAGGTCCTTCAGGACTTATGTCTTTCGATATGCAGGCAAGTTTTACAGAAGAAAAAACTGTGTAGAAAAAGCTCTTCTGTTCTTTGAAAAGGCCTTGCAGGCAACTCCCAACTCTGCCTTCTTGCATTACCAGATCGGGCTTTGCTACAAGACACAAATGATCCAAGTAAAGAAGGCTACAAACATGAAGCCAAGAGGCAGGGATAGAAAAAATGTGGACAGATTGGCTGGACTGGCTATATCTGAATTTCAAAGCACTTTACAACTAAAGCCCACATATGACATGGCTTATGTTTCTCTGGCTGAAATGTATGCAGAAATAGGCCAATTAAGAAAGGCAGAGGACAATTTTCAAAAATTATTCTGCATGGAGAATATTGATAATCATATACAACAAGAGATACATTTCCGCTATGGTCGTTTCCAAGAATTTCACAGGAAATCTGAAGATAAAGCAATCACTCATTATTTAAAAGGTCTAAGAATAGAAGAAATGTCATATACCACAGAAAAACTTCTAAGTGCTCTGGAGAAATTGGCTGAAAGACGTGTGTACCAGAATGTTCACATTGTGGAAAGCTTCAGCCTCCTTGGCCTGGTCCACAAATTGAAAGGGAATATGAATGAGGCCTTGCTATGCTATGAGAAGGCTCTGAGGCTCACTGAACACCTGAATCCTATATTTTGAAGGACAACTCCCATTACCAATTTCATGTGCTCATAACTAAATATAACCACAATCTTTCCTAGTTGCTACCTCCAAAATGTATAACCTGGTAAAACACAAAACTGTTGAACACAACTCACCCTCTGCTGCCTGCCCAGCCCCACTTTCTTTCCCCGGAATAGTGTGTTGTGTGTCTATAACAGAAGCCTTGCTCTTCTACCAACTCTCTTGCATTAGTTGACCAGGGTTGATTCATTGTGTTTGGGGCACCTCTCAGCTCATGGACTATCAAGAATAATTTTCTTTATGAATATGCCTTTGGAATGAACAGCTTCCATCCTCAGTCTGTTGGTATCCAGAACAGAGACTTCTACAGGGAAGGGTTCTTTCTCAAGTGGCCAAAAGCTCTGAGCTACAACAGGATTTAAGAGCAAAGCAAATGACCAAAGATACTAGATTAGATAAAGGATAGAGATTCAGGAGTTGCCTACAGAATTTGAACTTGGAGTTCTATTTCTCCAGACCTTTTGTTTTTCTTGGACAAGAACTGCTGGTGAGCCCAGCCCACAGCATTATAATCCATTCCATCTTTTGTCTACGTGTATGTAGCTGCTAACACAAGGAATCTATACGATCCAAACACATTACTGAACATTTGTTCACAGCATAGAAGACTTTTAATGTGTAAGGGGGAAAAAAGGAAGGAGATAACATATTTGGGATGTACAAACTGAAAACAACATAGATTCATACAGTTTTGGGGTGCTTATTGTGTTGTGTGTGATAGAATTACCTTTGTCTCCTGACCAAAAGTATTACTTTTGCTAAGATCACAGATTCTTTCTATTATGCTGGATATATTAACAATGATATGTATTCTATATTGGTGTGGACATAGGAAAACTGCAGTAACAAGTTACCCAACACAAAGGGTGTTCAGACAAAAGAACCCACACAATTATACACACTGCCAAGTCTTTTTTTATTTTTTTATTTTTATTTATTTATTTTCTTTCTGGTACCAGCGATTGAACTCAGGACCTTGCACTTGTGAGTTAGGCACAGCACCACTGAGCTAAATCCCTGGCCCCCAAGTCTTTTAAAACACACACACACACACACACACACACACAGAAAGTTTACTTCTATAGGCCATTACATTAGAAAGTTGACTTGTATTACCTTGATTTCTGAGAGCTAGGATTGATCAATGGTAGGGACTAGGGATGGGAATGGGCTTGGCTGTGTCATTCTCATGACACTTGGAGAACACACACACAATGACACCCTTTTCACCTTTTTTGATGCTAAACCAGGAACCAATTTATTAAATTCAACCAGAGGAAACTACTGGAGCAGGAATATTGTCCTTTCTCTGTCAGAAAGGTGAGATTCTTCAGTTGACCCAGCCTCTCCTGACTGCCCCAATTCACGGACTAAATCTACCTTAGAAATCTGAGGACCTATCTCTGCTCATCTGAAAACGTAGTACAGTGTGATTCTAGTTGTCACACTACACTGCTTTGGCTTAGCACAGTTCTATGGTTGTCGCTAAAGTGATAGCTGTTTTTTCTTAACCAGTGTCTTGTTGGGAGCAATGCTATGTAATTCTAGGGAAAAATCATTTGATTAGGCCTATTCTGCCTACAGGCCAGCTATGGCATTCCCAGACATAATTCCATTTTGGCCTCAGGTCACAATTGAGACTTCAGTGATCCCATGATGCTGTGATGCTCCAGGGCAAGACCAAACCTGTGGGAGACACCCTGGGAGGAACCAAATCTTCATCTGCATAGTTCCTGGGAGGAACCAAATCTTCATCCTCATTGTTCTTAGATTTCCACTGCCCCTCAGTCTTTTGTTATGCCTTGTTTACCCCAATGTGAAGTACTGAAATCTACATATTCATTGGTTACATTTGTTTCTCCCACTGAATAAAAGGTGCTGCAAACTAGAGGTTTTTGTCTTTGCTGCCCAGAGCAGCACTGATCAGACTCAAAGCTCAGCTTCTTCTCAAAGTCTCATTTTTCTACATTTCCTGTAATTTGCCATGTATTGCTGTGGCTCACAGGAGACTAGGACTTACTGCAGAGGTTCTGGTAACGTCCCCTTCCCCTGTTCCCCACGCTGTCTTGCCTTGGCAAAGAAGTAATGGGGGATTTAAAACCCTCTTGTCAGAAAGGTCTAAGGGACATAATGGGGGGGGGGATATTGTGGGACTGTGTGATTCAAAAGTTAATCCCCCCCTAGATTTTGTTGTAAATTTGATGGTTGGAGTGTGTTTGCCTCGGGACAATGGACAATCAGTAATAGGGCGAGGTTACTCAGCCATCTGTTTGCCCTAAATCCAAATGTCCCGGGGCCCAGTATCTATAG